GGGGGGGCTGCACACTGGTGGAGGGGAGTCCCCATGACATGTTAAGTGCTCTGAGTGGAGTGTCCAGAAAAGCGCAAAATGACCTTATAAGGAATTATTATTAATTATTACTCTAAGCATTTCATCATGAACAAATCCCAGTAGAAAGTCTGTCCGTGGACAGCTGCACATTAACAGGAACACTTAACCCACAGTTCCAGCTGAGTAATTGGTAGCCTGGAAGTTCTGTCATTACACAATGGACCAGCTTGTTCATACAGTCAAATGGTCAGCGTCATTTTGTAATTACATATTTATTACATAATAATTACGGCGCAATATGCTTCTTTACAAAACGGAATGGATAGCACGAACCGATGTTCACGGGCTGTGGACAGCTCACAGGCCTCAGCGTGTCTCTGGCGCCCTCTGCTGTTGACTGTTCGCATCGCCATCTAGACCACATGCACCTGCCCCCGGTGCTGATCAATAACCGTCAAAGGAACCAACACCCACACAAGAAACGAATATAAAACCCTTGTAAATTGACTGGCACCACCAATACAGAGCCAACTTTTCTGAAGGCTCAACAAAGGTGGAGTTGTTTAAGGACGTTAAGGAGTTTTAATGTAGAAAGCACACTGATGACACTTAAGTGTTTTACTCACAGCATCTCTAGCCTTGTGTATTCAGAGCTGGGGAGGTGCCTTATCCTTTCAGAACAAAAACAAGTTGAACAAGGTGATCAGGACTGGTGGCAGGAGTACTGGCGCCCTCTTGGACTAGTAACGTCTAATGGAGCGATATGTTATTAATCGTGCAAGTAAGATCTTAGACGACCCCTCTCTTCCACTCTCCTCCCCTCTGGAGGAGCTACTAGATCCTCTGTATAAAGACTAAGAGAGCATTTACTTCCTTTATACCTAAAGGCATTCTATTGGTGAACAATGAATACATTGTTTGCAGAGAGTTTGATTGTGATGATGAAGTAATTCATGTAGGTGGCTGTGGTAGCATGCGTAGGCTGCAAAGGAACAAGTGAAGGTTTATTCCCTGCTGAAAAGAGAAGAGACACAACGTTTGGGCTGTGGAGTCTTCAGGTGTGAGGGAGAGAGGAAAACCGGCAGTTGATGAAGCAGGAGAGGAGCAGGGAGCAGGAGAGAAGCACAGTGGATACTCGGGTGTCCAGCAAAATTCTCACCAAAATGATCCTGAACACCAGGATCACACCTTCTCCCTTCTCTCAATGACAGACTCGTTCCCTTCTAATCCTCTCTATTCCTTTTGACTTCACACCTCTCTTCACATCACCTGAGTGTTTCCCCCTGGCCTTTACCAGTCATGGCCTCCAACTAATCCCCATCTCTGAACTGGCTCCATCACTCTGAGAGCTGGTGTGTGGGGAGCGTTCTGGTGCACTATGGCTGCTGTTTTCTTCATCCAGGAGGGGCTGCACACTGGAGGTGGTGGAGGGGCCCCATTACCTGTAAATCGCTCTGAGTGGAGTGTCCAGAAAAGCGCTATATAAATGTAAGGAATTATTATTATTATAATAATTGCAATTATGTGGGTACAGCGCCACTAGATGGCAACCTAAGACCTGTCACAAAGACATCCACGCCCCAGCGGTACTGTCGCAATATCTTTATCCGCC